AAACAATAAATAAATAATAAAAAAATATTAAATAAAATAAAAATGAAAATAAAGAAATACATTTTATTCAATTAAATCCAGCTCAGAGGGATATATACCTGCTGTTGTGATGTAAATTTAAATAAATAATAATAATAAATAATAATTATATAATAACAAATAATAAGCAATACAAAAAATTAATAAATTGAAAATAAAAATAAAAAAATCTAATTTAATTTTATTTTATTTTATTGAACTGAATCCAGCTCAGAGGAAAACACCTGCTGTTGTAATGTGGCGCTATAGAAATAAAATTGAATAATAAAATACAATAAATTATAATAAATAAATAAATAAATAAATAAATAAATACATACAAAAAAATAAAAGAAATTTAAAAATAAATAAGCAAATAAAAATAAAGACATAAAATAAAACTGAACGGAATCCAGCTCAGAGGGAGGAGAGCGGAGGCGTCCTCCATCTTGGATTCGGGTAAACTCACACTGCTCCAGCATCCCGGCCTCCCGGCACTTGCGCAGCCGGCACTGCTGGCACTTGCGGCGCATGTACATGTCCATCTCGCAGCGGCCGCTGTTCTTACAGGAGTACTGGGCGCTCTTGATCACGCTGCGCCGGAAAAAGCCCTTGCAGCCCTCACAGCTCAAAACGTTGTAGTGGAAGCCGGAGGCCTTGTCCCCACAGACGCTGCACACCTCGTTTCCCAGCATTTTGGGGGCTGGGCCCTTCTTTCTTTTCACCGGCTGGCCATCTATACTCATTAGAAAATAAGAAATAAGACATGTTATTACCTGTTATTTAACTCATTGGCTGCCAAAGACGTCTATAGGCGTCTTTTATGTTTTTCAACGCGAGTGGCTGGGGGACGATCTGCTAAAGCTTGTCCGTAAATATCGGCTTATAGACAGAGTATGTAGTAACAAATTGACCCTCTAGGGGGCAGTGCCACTTTTGATGGGAGATGAGCATAGACTGTAGGCAAATAAGAAAAAGGTAACGGTTCGTTATGAGAGAACATGTCGCCGGTGAGACGCAAGTCCAGGAAGAACGGAATAAGGTAGAAACACTTTTTTTTTCCTGATGAAAGGAGAGAGTCTACTCTTTCTTTTGGTGTGTTCGGTGTTTACATAGTCATAGCACAAACTGTGGCTCTAGAAAAATCTGTCAAAATGCTCAAAAAACTCTGGCAGTATGGGACTCTCTGTTCTGAAAATGGCTGCCAGTCAATGAGTTAAACATAAAAGGTTTCAGGAGACGGCTGCAGACGTCTCCCTTAGGGCTGTTTATTCTTTTCCCTAACCCTAACTTTTCCAACTAGTAAAATTAAAATGAGTTTAGTGACCCGCATTTAGAAAAATAAATAAATAATAAAATAATAAAATTAATAATAAAATAATAAATGTAATAATAAAATAATAAAATTAATAATAATATAATATAATATAATAAAAAAACATAATAACAACATAATAATAAAAACATAAATAAAAATTCAAGTAATCTGTAAAAAGCTTGAGACTCACTTAAGGTGTGCTTTTGCTCTTTTTAGTAAAGACTTGATGCAGATTTGGGTGAATGGAAAGCTAAAATATTGGTGTCTGTGCCCTGAGGCATCTTAAATCTCTTTAAGATAGCCGGTTTCTTTGCTTTACACTGTTTGGGTGATGCTACAAATCCCTTATAAGTGCCATTATCAGAATCAGAAATACTTTAATAATCCCAGAGGGCAATTATTTACGAGGGACACTACAGTCCCTCGTAATGACACTAGGGGTCCTTGTCCACCAACTAGTTTTGTTTTCCAGTGTTGTGGGCAAAAATAAGAGCTGTATCTGAGGTGCCTTTCATTAAACTACAGATAAAAAGAACTCCAAAAAAGAGATAAGAGGCTGGAGGAGGCCCAGCTAAGCACCAGTTATAGAAATTAGGCTGGTCCCGATACGATATCTGGGTCCAGATCCAGTTTTCCGATCCTAAATTAGCATTAGCATTAGCATCTGAAACCCACAGGTCTGTGTCCTAACCATTGAGTTATCAGAGCTTTAGCATTAGCATTAGCATCTGTAACCCACAGGTCTGTGTCCTAACCATTAAATTATCAGAGCGTTAGCATTAGCATTAGCATCTGTAACCCACAGGTCTGTGTCCTAACCATTAAGTTATCAGAGCGTTAGCATTAGCATTAGCATCTCCTAACCCACAGGTCTGTGTCCTAACCATTAAGTTATCAGAGCGTTAACATTAGCATTAGCATCTCGTAACCCAAAGGTCTGTGTCCTAACCATTAAGTTATCAGAGCATTAGCATTAGCATCTGTAACCCACAGGTCTGTGTCCTAACCATTAAGTTATCAGAGCGTTAGCATTAGCATTAGCATCTGTAACCCACAGGTCTGTGTCCTAACCATTAAGTTGTTATCAGAGTAAATCCCTGTTTAACATGAGTCTGACAACTAAGTAGGTAGATAAATAACTTTAAACTTTAACACATGCTCTGATAGGCCGGGATCGGATGGGAAAAAGCTGGATCGGGTCATCTTTAATAGAAATGAGGAGCTGTAACAGTCCCAGTTTGCCTAATCTGCCAAATCAAACCCCCCCTTTGGGCAGTTTGGGCTCTCAGTGGGAACTTCCACTCCCCCAGACTCACAATAACATGCTGACCCTGCATACATTAAATACATCACATAGATTATTGGACTGCACCGATAGAGATTTCAAAAGTTTAAACCAGTCAGGGTTTTGGGAACATGCCCCTCCCCTCCCTGGTTTGGGCTGAATCTGAGTATTTCTGAGCTCATCTCATGGGGAGAGTCTCCTGCTGTGTGAATGTGTCAATGAGAAAGTCCAGACATGATCAGACCAAGACTGGATTAGCAAGAAAAGCAAAAAAAAAAAAAAAAAGCTAAACTGGTTTGTCTGGTCTGATGAGGCTGCCCCACTGGTTGTTTCCCAACACCACCAGCCATTATTAACACTTTCTCTAGATTAAACTAGGGTTGTCAAAAGTATTGATACTCAAAAAAGTATTGATACTAAAACGTTGCATCTGGATACGATACTCATTTTCAAAAGTATCGATACCCCCCCTTCTCTCTGATTTATTTATTTATGTTGTTTATGATCATTAATATGACGTTAGCCTTGAATTGCTAGCTGCGGCTAATGGCTAATAACAACACGCCAACATTAATCAAGTCTGCAGGAAGCCAAGGATGGATATCCAACTCCCCCACATCCAAGTCGGCCATTTTGATTAAGTCACCAATAGGAAGATCCCAGGCAAGAAAATCCTAATTGCTTCATGGCAATATCGATATTAATTTAAAAATAGTGAAATGAATCTTGCAAACACTGAATTAAGCTCTTTCCATAATATTATGTTAAAATAGTGGATGTTAAATAGGTTTGTACAATA